ACAAATACATATCTATCAACAAATGAATCTAAAAATCAAGTGAATAAATAGTCTGATGAACAGAATAAACTGGTGAATATAATAGAATCAGGGGCATAGAAAGGGAGTGAACTGACTATTCTCGGGGGGGGGAAAGGGTGTGGGAGGTGCAGGAAGAGACTGGACAAAAATTGTAAACCTATGGATGAGGACAGTGGGGGGTGGATAAGGGCAGAGGGTGGGGTGGGAACCGGGTTGAGGGGAGCTATGGGGGCGAAAAAGAGGAACAACTGTAATAATCTGAACAATAAAGATTTAATTAAAAAAAAGAGAGTAGTAGTTTGTGCATATCTCTGAAAGTCACGAGATATAAACCTGATGTAAAATCTCTGTCATCAGTGATGCAGCAGCAAAAGTCCTGCTGATAATATCAAACGGAGTCATAAAGTTTTCTATCAGACTATAAGTGTACATGTATACATTAAAAAATAAATGTATTTTTCATCATCATATACTGTTTTTGTCCCTCAAATGAATTTTCTTATTTCTTCAAGGTTCTTCTCATACATACACCTTAAGAGATATCAAGTAGGTGTAACAAGTTCTCAAAAAATTAGGGTTGGCACGCAGAAGAATTTTGAGTCAGAGATTTTGCTGGTTTGGGCACGCACTCACAAAAAGGCTGCCCACCCTGACCTAAGTCATTGCCTGGGCTGCAGGTACGCCCCAGGACCTATAAGAAAAGTACATTACCCAGAAGGAAATGCACCCATGTGGGCGGGGCTAAAGGGCATTTTGGTGTCTAAACATCCGGTTAGGGCGGAACTTCCGCCTTCCTCCTCCTGGTGGTCATTTTAACATTTTAGGTCTTTGTTCACAGATTTACAGGCTTCAGGGCACTGGTCGTGAGGCGGAGGAGGCCTGGGAGGCAGCGCGCCTGCTGTGCGGGGTGTGTCTGAGGCTCCTTGAGTCCAACAGCCCGAGATTGGTGTCCTCGTGCCTCCCGGACTCCTCTCTGCTCACAGCGTCCCCGCAGTCGGACCCCATTTCACCTTCCAGCCTTGGGGACCGGCCTCTCAAGTCCTGCCACCCAGGTCCCAGCGCTCAGAATGGTGAGTTCCTCGTGGATGACACATGGCTGATGGGGGAAGAGGGTGAAAGGCTGCAGTGCCACCTTGTAAGGACGTGATGGTGCGACTGAGCAGGGAGGACTCGGGAACCCAGGCCTGTTGTGGGTGTAAAGGCAACACAGAGAGGAGGGGAGGTTTTGCACGAGGAGTTTTACTTTCATTCTCAGGAAGCTGGGACCATAGATGGTTGTGAAAACAGGAGGGACATTTTCTGAGGTAGGGTTCTAACTTTTCCTAAAATTGCTCAGAGGAAGAACAGATTAGAAGACGGAGGACAGCAGCTGTGTACAGGAAGGAGAAGTCCTGTAAATGATAAGGTAAGTGGCAAGAGTGAGCACTGAGGACTGAGCCCTGAGATAATACAGGCATCTGGAGGGCACCTGGCCTCTGGGCTGGGCAAGGGCACTGAGCATCCTGGGCCCATAGAGCCTGGCGGTGATTGCCAGGCTCTCAACAGACGATTTTCTTTCCAAGAATTCCTGCAGATGCAGAATGATTTAGGTGTACTGATTCGTGAAGATTATTTCAGGGCTTCACACTCTTGTGGCTTCTGCGAGAGTAGTGTCCTGGGACTGTCAGCTGCTCTTATAGCCCATGGACCTGGGTATAACAGACACTAAGCCCAGACTCCTAAGGCCACAACTAGGACTTCATGAAGTGAACCTTCTTCCTGGAAACCAGTGTAATGAGTTGGAGGTCGTCCAGGGCAGTGGTCGCCAATGATTTGTCTGTGGACCACTGGTGGTCTATGAGGTCGGAAGGTTGGTGACTGCTGGTTTAAGGAAACTTTTGGAGCAGTGGTCCCCAACTGGTGGTCCATGGACCAGTGGTGCTCCGTGAGGTCCAAAAGGTTGGCGGCTGCTTCTCCAGGGCATAGGTTCCAGCATGTGAAAAGGCTTTTTGTGCGGAGTGAGCTGATTCAGGAACCAGTAGGTATCTTTTTGAAATATATACAACCCAGGCATGTGACCTCACCAGTGCATGGGTCTCTACTCAACCAACTGACACACATGAGCCAGGGCTGTAGATTACTTTAATACAGTGAATCATGGTCAGGTTGGTAATGGTAGTAGCTCAGAAGGGACAGTGTGAGCCTGAGAACTGGCTTTCCTGCTGGGGCCACTGTTTGTGGGAGGTGGGTGTCACAACACAGCAGAGGGAGAGAAGTTGTCACGTAGAGTTTGGGGAGAGGTAATCATTTTGCAGTGGTCAAGGCCTTTAAAAGATGAGTGGACCTGAGATTACCTGGAGGCTAAAGAATTATTCAAACATGATGAGTTAGAGCTGATACATATTAACTTCTTTAAACACTCACCAGGATTAATTGTGACCTTTAGTGTGGCCTGGCTTTGGGAAGTTGCAGTCAGTATTGTGGATTAGCTTAGAGCAGTGGGGTTCTCAACCTGTCGGTCGTGACCCCTTTGGCGGTCAAACAACCCTTTCACAGGGGTCGTCTAACTCCATCCTGCATATCAGATATTTACATTATGATTCATAATAGTAGCAACAATACAGTTATGAAGTAGCAACAAAAATAATTTTATGGCTGGGTCACAACCTGAGGAACTATATTTAAAGGGCCAGAAGGTTGAGAACCATTGACTTAGAAGCTTGAGTGGTCATCTGTGAAACTCACTGAGCATGATGCAGAGGGCCATCGGGGCTGGGACTTGAGTGGAGGTTCAGTGAGACATGTTGGCAAGCATTCTCTGGTCAACAAATGCTGAGTAATAACTCAGAGGCCAAGGAGAGGACTATGGGGACGGGGGTGAGGGAATGCAGGTGTGAGCCAGGTGTGGCAAAGAGTGATGTGCACTTGAAAAGGGAATGTGAATTGATGGCCACAGGACCCTGGTACTGACATAAGAGTGAATGAGGGGAGAGTCCATTTCTGGTGTTGTGTGGATGATCCAATAAGGTGAATTTTAGGGTAATTGCCTGTAAAGTGGGATGTTTTGGAGCCCCACTCGAGGTACAGAGCTTAGGTGCCATTTCACTAACCTGCCTTTTGTTGTTGGGGATGACACCCTGGTTAATACAACCCAGTCTTCAAAATCTCCACTGGCATGGATAAGGGGTAAGAGATTATGAAGATGGTGAACTATAATTTGGGGGGAAAAGGTGATTAGGAAACAATGTGTCTTCGCCACAGCAAATTTGCCTTACCTTTGCAGTTGTGCTTCTGGGAATGAAGCTGTGTGAGAGAAGTGTTGTTTCAAAGAACTCTGTGCAACAGGTAGTGCAAAGTTATGGTCTCAGCACCTTGTGATTGGGGTCAAGAGGGTGTAGTGTGATGCCATGTATTTGGTGTCTTTGAGAAACAATCTGAGGGTATTGTCTGACAAGACCAGTATCAAATCACTCACACTATCTTTATCGCCAGCATCTCTCTTTAACCTGTGTTTTCGACACCCAATCTGTTGATAAAAGTCAGTGAGGCATATACGGGAGGTCCAGAGCTCAGGTATCTTTTATGTGCTCAAATGCCTTTATTATAGTGGGAAGACAAAATGTCAGTAGGAATATAAGAAGACAGTGGCTTTCATGGGATGAAGGCCTGGTATTTTCTCCGATTTGTAGAGTGGACAGAGCAGATGGATGTGGAAGGTGGGCAGTATGACAGACTTAGAATCTTAGGAGTGAATCTGATCTTGGGCTGTACTTTCCCCATTATGACAGGATATGAACTTTGAGGACGTGGCCATTGCCTTCTCTCAGGAGGAGTGGGAGCTCCTTGATGAGGCTCAGAGACTTCTGTACTGCGATGTGATGCTGGAAGTGTTTGCACTTGTGTCATCTGTAGGTAAGACCTTCACTCTCCCAGTGTCCTGAGGTGATGACCTCTGTTCCTTTATTCCTCAGACATAGCTTTCTCTCTCCCACAGCAACAAAATGACCTCTGCTAATTTTCCCCACTGTCTTGTCAAATGTGCGGTGGCTGCCAGGGATGAGCTGGGTGGAGAGTCCTGAGTAAAGGACTCCACAAACATCCCTAACACCTGTTACATCAAAAAGCATAGGAAACAGAAAGTCAGGAATCTTCTAGTGAGTTTAATCGGTCCCAGCTTGCACTTACACTTCATGGGAGGCTGACAGTGTCCATACGCATGGCTTCAACTTCTGCCCGCTTTCTCTACGTAAAGGTTCGTTATGCCATGTTATGGTCTTTACTTACATGAACCAGGGCCTGCTCTTGTGAGACATTCAGTCAGTTGTTTGTTATATTCTCTTCCCTGCATATGATAGCAAGCTGTGTTGCTCTGGCCCAGTGCTGACTACTCACCTCTTCATCACCTGTTCCTTTGCACTGGTGCCTCTGCAGTATTTTGCAACATTGACTTGCACATGTGTTATGAGGTGCACATACGTGCTAATTAGTCCTCGAAACCAGCTACTCCTTTATTGAATTTTACTTGGAGTAAGAACTGACCAATCTCTTTACAGTTCATCTCCGTCCCCAGCAGACAAGCCATGCTGAATGCTGTTAGTTGAAGTATTAGCTGGAGATCCATATTCTCACCCATGTGGTGCTTGCCATATTTGTGTCTTATTTCTGCTGAGGCCTCCCTATTTGTGATCTTCATTAGCCCAGGAAGTTACAAGAGCCTCTTATTAACCCTTCCTGCATATCGCTTATTTTCTGACAATTGCATGGATCCAAAGTGTGATGTGTAACAAACTTTTGTGATGGGACTTCCCCTGCCACCACAATCAACATTCATTTCCTCACCATTTCTCACTTTTCAGGTTGTTGGCATAAAATCAATGGTGATAAGGCCTGTTCTGATCAGAGTGTATCCATAAAAGGAGAGTCACAGGTCAGAGCTTCTGAGACAGCTCCAAGCACCCAGAAGATCCCTCTGTGTAAATGGTGTTTCTCTGTGTTAAAAGGTATTTTGGACCTGACTGGTTCACAAGCAGCAGACTTTGTGATGAAAGCCTTTTCTAGTGACACACGTGTTGGAGACTCCTGTTCCTGTGCAAACCCTCACCAGCAGCAGAGGAATGAATGTGGTCAGGGGCCCTGGAAACAAGCTATGGACAGGGCCTCCTCAGTGAGTAGGTCCAACTTCTTATCGTTGGTGCCTTCCACCAGCAGGGAGGTTGGGGAAGACTTGCAGTACAACTCAGAGCTTCTCCGGCACCAGGCCACTCTCAACACGGAGGAGCTACACTGTGACAGTGAGGTTTCACAGCAATTTCTTGATGGAAATAGTCTTCACCAGTGGGGTGAATGTGAAAATGCTGCCAAACACAACCTGAAAGTTGTTCAACATCAGGGGGAGTGTTCTGGAGAACTGGTTTATGAGTGTAACAAATGTAGGAAAGTGTTTAGACAATACTTAAACGTCATTCGAAATAAGAAAGTTCACACTGGAGAAAAGCGGTATGAGTGTAGTGAATGTGAGAAGTTCTTCAGTGAAAGACCTGCACTCATTAAACACCTGAGAGTTCACACTGGAGAGAAGCCATCTGAGTATAGACAGTATGAGAAATCCTTCAGTAATAAGTCTGCCCTCAAACTACACAACAGAGTTCACACAAGAGAAAAGCCATATAAATGCAGAGAATGTGGGAAATCTTTTCGTAAATTGACTTACCTCAATCTACATCTTAGAATTCATACTGGAGAGAAGCCGTATGAGTGTACTGAATGTGGGAAGTCTTTTAGCCACAAATCTGACCTTATTAGACACCTGCGAGTTCACAGTGGCGACAAGCCATATGAGTGCTATGGTTGTGGGAAGTCCTTCAATGATAAGTCTACCCTTAAACAACATGAGAGAGTTCACACTGGAGAAAAGCCATATGAGTGTAGACAATGTGGGGTGTCCTTTCGTCAAAGGGGTCAGCTCACTGTACACCTGAGAGTTCACACTGGAGAGAAGCCATATGGATGTAATAAATGTGGGAAGTCTTTTAGCCGTAAATCCAACCTTACAAGGCACCTGAGAGTTCACAGTGGTGACAAGCCAAATGAGTGCTGTGATTGTGGAAAGTCCTTCAGTGATAAGTCTATCCTCAAACAACACCAGAGTGTTCACACTGGAGAAAAGTGTTAAATGTGCAGGGAATTTTTTTTCTCACTTAGTATAACAACACTGAAGGTGACTCTTTGGGACCTATTTTTCTGAATTTAAACGCTTTTTAATGGAACATGCACTCTGATGTATTCCTCATCAGTTTCAGGCACAAGTGAGGCTTGAAGGAGCTGCATTGTACTTGCTAACATGCCCAGACCTACTGCCCAATTGATGTCACAGCGAGCATTTGTGGCTGAAGATATTTCACCTCTACCACCTGGCTCACCTGAAGAGTGCATCAGTCACAACCCCTGTGTGCTCAGGGGAAATATATTCTGTGTTCTCACTTGTGCTTGAGAACATTATGATTACTTCAAGCTCTTGACAGGATCTTCCTTCCTTTCTGACTAGGGAATGCCATCTGACCAAGGGTTTGTCCAGAGCACCCATCCTCAGCTAAGGAGTGCTACCACTTTCAGGGACATGATGGGTCAGACATTATGCTTTTATGAATTGTCTTACTTTCTAATTCACCAACCTGCAAATTGCTTACTGTCCTCTGTTCTGGTTTATGATCTTTAGTAAAGATGTTTTTTCTTTCGTAACTTTATTTTTTTAATTTCACTGTCTGGATGATTTGAATGACAGGGTGTGATGGGGGAAGAGGTTGACAGGCTGCAATGCCACCTTGAAAGGACATGGTAGTGTGTCTGAATGAGGAGGATTTGGGAATCCAGGCCTTGTTTTGTGACTAAAGGCAACAAAGAAGATGAGGCAAAGTTTTGCATGAAGAATTGTGCTGTCATTCTCAGGAAACTGGGTCTATGGATGGTCCTGAACAAAAGAGGGATATTGTGTGAGGTAGGTTTCTAAACTTTTCCTAAAGCAGCTCAGGAGAAGAACAACTAGAAGAGAGAGAACAGCAGTTGGGGACAGGATGGAGAAGTCCTTTAAATGATGAGGTTCCTAGCAGGAGTGTGCACTGAGGATTGAGTCCTCAAGTAATGTGGTCATCTCAAGGACATGTATCCCCATTGGCTGGACAAGGGTACTGAGCAGCCTGAGCCCATGGATTCTGGCAGTGATGGACAGGCTCTCAACGAATCTTTTTCCCACAGATTTCTACATAAATGCTTAGGAGTACTGGATTATGAGTTGATTTCAGGGCCTCACACCCTTATGACCTCTAAAATAGCAGTACCCTGGGACTGTCTTACAGCTTTCCCAGTCCTTGGAACTGGGGACACTGGAACCTCTTAGTAATCTTTCTTTCATGCCACTTACTTTCACACAATTGCATGAAAACAGTGTATTATGTGGCACACACTTTTGTATGAGATCATCATCATCACACCACAGTCAATAGTCATTTCCTTATCAATCTCTGTTTTTAGGTTTTTGTCAGAAAATGGAAGATAAGGTGGCACCTTCTGACCAAAGTGTATCTGTGGAAGGACAGTCACTGGTCAGGGCTTCTAAGACAACTCCAGCAAGCCAGAAAGCCCTTCTGTGTAAGCATTGTTTCTCAGTGTTAAAAATATATCCTGCACCTGACTTAGGTAGAAACAGCATACACTGTGTAGGAAGCATTCTTCAGGGATTCATGTGACAAAGGCTTTTCTTTGAGTGCAAATTCTCACCAGCAACAGAGGGATGCTAGTGAAGAGAAGCCCTGGAAAGAGGATGTGGGCAGAGCTCCATTTGAGTTCCAGATCAGCTTCTCCTTACCTTGGGTGCCTTCGACCCATATAAGGAGACTTAGGAATACTTTGCAGCCATCACATATCATCCCCAGGACCAGGCAGCTCTTAACACGGAGGATTCACACTGTGGCCGTGAGATTTCACAAGAATTTATTGATGGAAATAGTACTCACGAGAGTGATAGTTGTGAAAATAGCTCCAGTCACACCAGAAAGTTGTTCAACAGCAGGATGTCTGCTCTGGAGAAATGAATAATGAGTGTAAAAAATGTGGAAAACGTTTTTAGAAGAATCTTTAACCTAATTAGAAATTTTAGAGAATTTACACTGAATAAAAGCCCTGTAAGTGAACTGGTTGTAAGAATTTTTTTTAGTGAAAACACTGCTCTCAAACACTGCAGAGTTCACAATGGGGAAGAGCCATATGAATATATTGATTGGGGGAAGGCCTTCAGTCAAGGTCTACCCTCATTCAACATGACACCATTTGCACTAAAAAAAAGAGGTATGTGTGTAGTTAGTGTGGGAATTCATTCTCCCGAAGGTCTGATTTCACTGAACACCACAGAGTTCACCCTAGAGAAAACCCATATGAGTGTAGAGAACGTGGGATGTCCTGTCATCAAAAGGTTCTGGTCACTCACCACCACACATTTCAGCTTGGGGAGAAGCCTTGTGAATGTAGTTATTGTGGGAAGTCCTTCAATCAAAGGTCTACCCTCATACAATACCAGAAAATTCACAGTAAAGAAAAGAAGTATGATTTTAGTAAATGGGGGAAATATTTCAGCCAAAGGTCTGACCTCAATGATCACCACTGAGTTCACACTAAAAAAAGCCATATGAATGTACTGATTGTGAGAATTACTTCAGTTATAGCTCTATCCTGATTCAACATCAAAGAACTCACACTGGAGAAAAGCTGTATGAGTATAGAGAATGTGGGATGTCCTTTCATCAAAGCTCTCACCTCACTAAACGCTACAGAGTTCACAATGGAGAAAAGCTAAATGAATGTAGTGATTGTGGGAAGTCTTGCAATCCCGAGGTCTCACTTCTCTGAACATCTCAGAGTTCCCACTGGAGACAAAGCGTTTAAATAGTGTGTTGTGGGAAGTCTTTTACATGCTATATTGACCCTTAGAGAGTCAATCCTGTCCCCAACTTCTGTCCTCTCTCTTCTAGTTGTTATTCTCCTGAGCTGCTTTGGTAAAAGTTTAGAAACCTACCTCACGCAATGTCCCTCTTTTGTTCAGGACCACAAAAGCGTTCACACTAGAGAAAATTTATGTGAGTGTAGTGATTATGGAAAGTCCTTTAACCAAGAATCTAAGTTCATGGAACACCGCAGAGGTCTCACTGGGGAAAGATCTCATGAGCGTGTGAATGTGGAAAACATTTTAGCCACAAACCTTCCCTGCTCATACACCTGAGACTTCACACTGGAGAAAATCTGAAATGTGCAAGCAATGCTTTATTCTTCTCACTTAGAATAATAACACTGAAGGAGATTCATTGTGGAACATTTACCTGAATTTAAATTCATTTTAATGGAACATACTCTCTGCTAGATTCATCATAAATTTCAGATGCAAGTGAGGCTTGAAGGAGCTGCATTGCACTTGCTAACATGCACAGAACTACTATCCCATTGATGTCACAGCGAGTATTTGTGGCTGAAGAGATTTTACCTCTAACACATGGCTTAGCTGAAGCATGTGCATCAGTCACAACCGCTGTGTGTTCAGGGGAAATGAATTCTGTGTTCTCACTTGTTCTTGAGAAAATTATGATTACTCTGAACTCTTAGCAGTGTATTCATTCCTTTATCTCTGACTAGGGAGTGCAACTGACGCAGGCTTCTTCCAGGACACTCATCCTCAGCTAAAGTGTTTCCCCTGTCAGGGACATTGTGGTTCTCACATTAAGCTGTGATGAATTGTTTCAGGTTCTAATTCACCAACTTAGAAACCACTGGCTGTCCTCTGTTCTGGTTTATAATCTTTCAGTAAAGGTGTTTTTCCTTTTGTACCTTTAATTTTGGGGCTTATAGTCACTGCCTGGGATGACAAGAAAGAAAGTTATGATCTGTCAGCATGGAGAGGTGAACAGATATGGTGGAGACCCAAACTTTCTGTGCTTTGGAAGCCACACAATAATGGCAGAAAATTACTATTTCTCCAATATTGCCTTTTTTGAATTGCTGCCCAAGGCCATGGAAATTGTCTGCATGACTTTGTGGTTCTAATTTGCAGCCTCGGGCCTCTATTAATGGTTAAGTCAACGGTCACAGTGGAAGGAGGCCTTCATTGTATTTCTGTGGACAATATTCATTATAGTCTCTGGTCATAGTATGTATTACATAATTCTCATCACTGTTTTGGGAATTCTTCCCCACATACTGCTAAGGTGGCATGTGCTGTGAAGTATGAAATTTCATACCCTGGTGTCTTTTTTTGTATGACTCTGAGGTTTAAGTGGAACCAACACTAGGACGTAAACACTGTAGTCATAGTGAGTGGGTAAGATTGCATTAGATGAAAAGTGCCTCTTATGAATGTATTCCACATATGATCAATGGTTTTTGGCTTTGTGATCTTTGCATACAGTAATTCTCAGGGCTTCCAAAATGTTCCTGTGGCTGAAGTCATGGGCAGAAAAAATGAACTCACAAGAGTTTTGGATTCCCCTGGACTATTCACCTCAAGGTTTCCTGATCAGCACAATCTCAAAGCCACAGGAAGGATAATCCTGTACTCACTCCAAGGATGTGTCTTTTGTAACCAGTCAATATACTCATTGATTCTGATGTCAATAGTCTTCACTGCTTGCAATATTTGCTGCCAATGAGGCAAGGGTGGTCCTACCAAGAAATTAGGAGAGAGATGGTAGAGCCCATTTAGTGTTGCCATTTTAATTTTCTAGCAAAACAGAGATATCTAGGTCCTCATTTGGAAGCACTTTTTAAGGCTTTATTTAGATATATTTATAACTGACATGCAACAAAATGCACTTTTCTAATGTGTACTATTTGTTGAGCTTGGACAAACGGATCAAACTTTAAAACCATCATATGTGAAATAAATTTATCTCTCACTCATATACAGGTTACGGCAAAAGCCGAGTTTCAGAAGTGAGTATATAAAACAAAGAGCTTACTCTCTATTTTAAATAACTATTTTATATATTTAAAAGTATATTCATTAACTTTCTAAAAAGAGAAGAGAGAGAGAGAGAGAGAGAGAGAGAGAGTGAGAGAGAGAAATGATGACATGAGAAACATCAAATAGCTGCCTCCTGCACGCCACCTACAGGGCATCTGGCCAAGTATGTTCCC